GCAGCTTTCATGATGAGTAGTGTGAGCTGTGTCGCACCTATACACAAATGGCAAGTTCACGGGCCAACCAAGGTAAGCAGGCTCGTTCAGAAGAATATGAAAGAGGTACATAAAAAGCCAGGGGAAAAGGAGCTGGAGAAAGTTCAAGTTCCCCTAAAATTATCAGTTTTGCATGCGTATACGTACACGCACATACAAACGAAATCACAAAAATTTGGTTAAACGCGCCTCCCTCACCCCTTAAAATTGTGTCTACGCTTTTGGAGAATGGCTACCTGAAAGCAACTCCCCTCATTGTAAATATTTGTGTCGCTCATTGGCACGCATAGATTTGGTGTAACAGATAACGCAGGCTACGTTAATGTGGCAACGACGAAAATATTATGCTTCTTCACAACCTCATGTGCGATGCTCACTTTTAGCATTCCCTGAAACTTTACCAGAGCTCATTGAAAAGAAATGTTGCGTAGAACAATGTCACTGTTGCACGCAGGAATCGAATCATTCGGAAGTTTGCAGGCGCCGCTTGCGCAAATTGCTCGCCGTTCCAGCAGTACTTCATTTCAACTGTGGCGTGCCTTGAAGTCATGCGAGCGTTGGCCAACCCTGTTTATGAACCGTAACCTGAACGCCGTGTCTGGTACTTTTACGTATCATGTGCGGCTGTGTGTGAGTAAATGTGTCTACATATATAGCTAGCCCTCACCATATATGGATAAAAAACAGGGCCACATATCGCAAGGCTTGCCCATTTGTGGCGTCAAATACAGGGACGCATACTTGATTTTCTTTAGCAAAAACATGCCATCACAGCCTTGTGTCGAGCAAACTGATGTAGACTAGCAAAAGAACCAATGAAACTCGAGGCTAGCAACTTGCTGCATTTTTTTTATGGCTTAGTTCGACAAATGGAAAGATTATGCGAAGACAGGACCACCATATGTCTCTGGCTGCAACTTATTCAGATGTAGCATCAGACTATAAAAAAAAATATATATCGGACTCCTTTCTTGGCAGTACAACTGATTTCTGCACTTAACTAGTGCAGTACAATGGTTATCTTAATCTCTTTTACACACTGTATCTATGCAGCAAACGGCCACTTAAGTTCCCGCACTGCGCCGCCTTGCGCGTGGTGGAAGCCTTAAACCCGGACAACCTCGAAGCAGGGATTAAACCATGGCGACCTATACCGTCCTTAACCGCATTCTCAGGCAGCATACGGCAAGCGTGATCTTGATTTACAAGCATCACTGGCTTTATCGGTTCTTCTTCGTGTCGCCTCCCCGTCCTTTGTTTTCGAGGGCACGGGGGTGGCCCGCTGTTGGATATCGTTCCACCCGGTGCCAGCTTGGTTCTCCCGTTGCGGCACTGGTTTACCCTTGCGGGGTTTTTTTTTTTTTTCGTTACGTCGATAAGGTCCAAAGCAGTCTGCCGTCTCTGTCTATTACGATACCGCTCGCAACGCGAAGAGAATAAGGGTGAGGAACCCGTTCGGTGGGAAGGCTTAAAATGTCCGGCCGTCGCGTAGAACGCTTTCAGATTGGGGCGCAGCCTCTAAGGAGCATGGTAATACGTTCAGGTTTCGAGCCGGGCAGTGCGCTTCGTTTTACGGCGAAGCTACACGCGGCTAGATGAACAGGCTCATAGCCAGGACGTCTTTTTTTCTGAAAGGGGGGCTGAAAGCCTTCACCATTCACTTCACTTGCTGAAAGCCTTCACCATTCGTAAAAACAATTATTTTCGTATTGTCATTCGCAATGGCAGTATGTAAGTTATGTGCTCTTTATAAAAGCTGTATTCATAACCGCCAAGGTCAATGCGGTTGACACAATGCTGACGGTGGTGAGTTTTTTTTTTTTTTTGCAAGGAACACGGGCACGGTGACAGGGCGCCGCGCCGGCCTCGTGAGCGACGGCATGCAACTATGGAAGGTGACGCACGGGCGATCGCGTTGTCTGTAGAGTGCGTGCATATAAACGTCATGAAATCGTTGGCACCATACTCGCCGTAGTTAGTGCGTCTAGCACGCGTTCTTTTGTGTCTTTTTTTTTTGTTCGTTGGTGAGCTGTTAGTCGCTGTTTAACACGCGGACAAAATGATTTCGCCGACGGCGCCAGCGGTGGGTACCACGCTATCACAGTGTTCAGCCCCGTTCCATTAGTTTCGGATCGTCACGACGCGCGCTCTGCGCAGCCCACGTGCTTTCCTAGTCGGAGAGAGAGTCTCGCTTTCTGCTTCACATTCGAATATAAACAAGAGGCGAGAATTTGAGCAGGCAATATGACCGGCTTCCGGATTCACCACAGCTTTACAACGAGTTACGTCAGAGACCTTGCTTGGTTGTTTCCTTCCTCCATGCGTTTTTCCTTAGTCCGTGTCCTACCTCCAGGATGGGCATCGGCAACGCGCATTGAGCAACGGTGCATTGAGGGAGCTTATCTCAGAGGCCTAGGTCTTTGCCGTACCTGCTTGCGTGTATGTAATGCAAGCTTAACATTAAACCTCAAATTCGCGCAGACCCTTTCGGTAACCCAGCTGAGAGAGTTCGAATTGGAGGTCACTCGTGCGCGCATGTGTTTTGTATATTGTGCGAGAAAACCGAGTGCCCTGCTCGCAAACACCTACCCCCCCTCCCACTAAAATTTCGGGGGGGGGGCGGAGACCCCCCTCCCCTGCCCGGCTACGAGCTTGGGCTAGAAGGTGGGAAATGTGGTTGTCTGTGAGCGCGCTAAAACATGACGATGAAGCAATGCCAGCATACGCCAACTTAAAGTGCCCCCGCTCTCGCGTTACTTCAGTTCATGGTTTCGCCAGCACTATGGCTAGGAATGATACCCACTGCACTTGGAATCACTATAAAATTCTTCAAGAGCTTTTAATTCCGTCTAAGTTGACGCCACCTAACGAAATGTTTGAAGCACGCATATCTAGAATGCAGTGATATCAAAATTTAAAAAGTACGAAAAAGGGCACTTCTATAGATTCCAGCATACTATGAGCATTGAGCCGCACTTTTCAGCTTCTCCGGTTAACCATATGTACATTGTGCTAGGGTGGGAATCTTTTTTCTGGTTTCTAACATATTGACGTTAACCTGATGTCTATAGTTAAAGCTATTTCAGTAAATTGGAGGAATTCAGGGGCCTGTCCGCCATCATAATAAATATTCTTTTCACCCCAGTCTTTGTGATTACGAACAATATTACGACAAGTAGTTAGCGCTTGCGCTAAGTAAATGTTAAGTAAAATGTTAATAAATGTTAAGTAAATGTTAAGTAAATGTAAACGTTAAGTAAATGTAAACGTTAAGTAAAAGTAAATGTTAAGTAAATGTAAAGTAATTGTTAAGTAAATGTTAAGTAAATGTTAAGTAAAAGTAAGTGTTAGGGCACCAGGGGCACGCCAAGTCACAATTCATTCTCAATGCAACGGCTCCTGATGACTTGGTCGCTAAAGAGGCTGGCTTTTACATTGTGAGGTACCAACGTCGAGCGAATCAAGGTATAGTGATGTCTTCTCGTCGTTCACAACATTTGTTCGGGTCATGCACGTCTAGTAAAAGGGCAAGGTTAAATCTACAAGCACTGTCGTCTTCTATTTCTCTACCTTTGGCAAGACACCTTTAAATTCTTCCTGGAGTGTATGCTGCGTGTTTGTAAATTCTCTGACACTGCATCTTCACCTTCCTGTCCCTCGCTCTGGAATGAAATATGAACATGTACTCCGATTGAGGCCCCTCAGGTCTTGAGTTCGAGGTTCGAGACTCGATCCTGGTAGTTTTGAGGGATTTAGTTAAATACACAGACGCAATAGCACTCTTTCACTACAATGATGTGGCCTTGCGATCTCTTTGCCCGGTGTATGTTCTAGATGGCAGCCATTATAGGGCTTATATTCAGGCCTGGCGTTGGTGAAAGGTGATAGCAACTATGAAGAAACACACAAGGAAAGTGCAAGAAACGTGGTCATAAACGTTGCGAGTTTGAGCTCTTCTCTAGGAAGCAAGCCTGATTACGTTTCTGAAGCCACCAGCTGAGCCATGATACTTACTTATGTGGCAGACACAATGTACAGTCGTTGCTGAAGCTCTTCCTTCCAGGTCATCCAGGTTCAAATCTAAAGCCTTCCTTGCTTATTCGCTAGCTCACTTTTTTTACTCAATATGTACTCACCCACTAACAAAGTCAACGTAGCGCACTTATGAGCAGGTGCTTAAGGAGCACTTTGAAGTTTTTCGCATGTTCAACGCTGGATCTGAAAAGCCTCGCATCTTTACAGAGCCGTGAATCAGAAGAGTCAGCCTGCTTGAAATAACTTAACGTAACTGTTTTTCTCCGTCAAGCATATAGTGGGTTATAAGTCACTTTGGGCGCGTGCGGTGTACCGCAAACATTAGAAGTTCTACACTGCTTTACATACAGCAAAAGTAACCTATCAGGACGGGTTGATTTACGTGACCAAAGCCTGGAGGGTTAGCTTCATTTGCATGGTGTCCTGTGGCATAATCACTCATGGCAGAAAAGGCCAGCGTCTGCTACCTTTTCTATCTTTCAACAAACGCTCATTGGAAAGTCGTCGCTGGTATATTACATTGCAGCTTGATTAATTCAGGCACTACGCCTGACGCTTTTGCCCTGCGACGCCTGTGAGGCTGCAGATATGGATACGAAACACAAGCACCACTATCTCTCATATGGCGCGCAGGGGTGCTCACGAGGTGCAATTCGCGTGGATACTGACACCCGATTTCAATTCTTCCTCCCACCTGCCGATAAAACAAAAAAAGCAGTGATTTCCCACAATTTGCACACATTGAAGCTGTTTAAACTAGATACGAAATCTCGAAAAGAGATAAGTAGTCGGCATGTAACCGCCGCTTCGCTTATGAATGCGACCAGGCCAAGGTCTGCGGGCACGAAGCGAGCCTCCTGCGAGGTGCTCGCCTCTCTTGCGCAGTTTTGCGAGAAGATTCGCCCCGATATGGGGAACGCACGTGGTTTTCTGTTTTCTTTCTTTTTTTCTTGTTTTTTTTTTGTTGTTTTATTCGCGCGAACGGTCTCTCGCCTTTCGATGGGGCGCAGTTCCGTACTTGACTGGGAACGGGAACATGGCATCCCCGGTTTCGCATCCAGTCCCGTCCTGGCTACACCCGGGACTCGCCTTGTGACGTCAGCGAGGGCAAAGAAGTGGAGAGGATAACGCGGGAATAAATAGAAGATCGCGCGCCTCGGCTCTGTAAAATTCTCGTCGTAATCATCCGTCTGAGCGTTGCGGAAGGGTTCCTGCACGTCCAGGTTACCTGCGAGAGATGTCAAACGCAGACGGTGGAAGCGTCAACACTTTAAGCGCACGACAAACGTGCTCGTACAAAAGAGAGAGAGAGAGACGAGGGCACACGTAACACTGACTTGAAATTCTTTCTAATGCGCAGCGCTTGAAGGAACACATACACACCGGAGAATGAATTCAGGAAGACGGCTGCTCAACAGCGGCAGCCTTCGACCATCGCCTTCTCTGCATCTGCTTCCTTTAGCGCTCTATATTAATACGCATCCTTACCAAAGACTAGCCTCGACGCCTTCTCAAATTACGATTCGTCTTTTGCTGACTTTCACTTTACTACACATGCACATGAAGCCTAGATACTTACTACCATTTCCACTTTTTTAAGCCACCGTCGCAGCAGCTGGAGGGCGGAGTTCAACCCCTGACCCCTCAAAATTGTCAATTTGACGTGCGTATACGTATATACACGCATGCGCACATAAATGGAAGCATGAACAGACAATGTGATAGTGTAACGTCAACCACCCTTTTCTCATCTAGGAAATGATTTCTGTATACGACCCCGTTGAACTTTCTGAATATATTTATATGCAAAAAAATCTTTATGCCGGCCCGAGGAGAGAGCTGTGTGTTCATCTTTCTATCGCGTAAGACATATCGTTGCAGAAAAATAAATATGGGAAATATGATCATTTTTTTGGCATGCATTGTTTTGAGCTTACGGCCTCACGCTCAGAATACGGGCTTTCTTTTTCTTTTCTTCTATGACTCGTTGTAGCACTAAGTGACGTCGACTTATGGCATATATATTGTTATATTGTAAAAGAACATTAAGGCAGCCATGTTTCAACACATGTTTATCACAGCTCTTCAATGACGCACGTGTAGAGGCGAAGTTACTGGTTAACACTGCCTGCCACGTGAGAACTAAGAAAGCTACGTAAAAAATCTGGATGATATAGCGTTCACAATACCGTGCTATAGCGTCACCGATGACCGCGTGAGCTGGAAAAGACAGAAAAACGCATTTCTTTGTATGTGCTGCGTGGTACAGATGAGGTACAAAAACTAATAAAAGTACCAAACCAATACGTGAAACGTACCTGCTCACCAAGCTTGCAGCGCTATCAAAGAAAATATAAAAAGAGTGCTGTGCAACCCATGCACTGCCACCCACCGTCTATTTCTTCTTGAGAGTCTGAAGGGGCTGGACGCTTGGGTCCACGGTGTACTTCAGGGTGGTGGTGGGGCCGTACGAGATGAACCGCTGAGTGTAGTGCTGGACGGCGGCCGGAAGGGCATGCGACGTCACGACAGCCGGGGCTGCCTCGTGGACCACCTGAGTAGGGGAGGTCACCACGGTGGCCGGAGTCGTGGCGTGGCTGTAGCGAACGCCTCCAAGGCCGTATCCGTAGCCGTAGGTGATGAGTTGCCTCAGCTCGGCTTCCGTGGGCACGTGGTGCAGCACAGCAGCCGAGGCGGGAACGGCGGCACCGGTGTACGTTACCGCACCTGGGAGGACATTGGTGACCGCCACGGGGGCGGGAGCCGCTTGGATGAGGGCCGCTCCGTGTAGGGCGCCCTGAACGGCGGCGTCGATATCGCCGGCGTAGCGGAGTCCTCCGACTCCGAACATGATACTCTGTCCTGCGGTGTTCACACATGTGGGCGTAGTTAGCTTAGTTAGGAGGTCGAAAGCAAGTGCTTTGCGTTGGGTGCTCTTGTTGTTGCTACGGGCGCTGATTGGCCTAGCGGCAGTCGTGGCCAGCAATCGTTTCGCCCCAAGCGTCTCTTTCAGTGACGCACACGTCACTCACGTGGAATGAGTGCACATTAGCCTCTTGTAGAAACGGTGGACGGGTTTATTCGCACATCTGTGGTACTTCTGGGAGGAAAAGCTGCCTTTGATTACTCGCTGGAAAGCTGTCATTTAATTCTGTGTTTCATGCACTTAAAGCTACGAGCTCAAGTACCCTGTCTAATAAAGGTATGCCATGCAACGGGGCATTAAAAGGGTCACCATTGTAATCGACGTATTTGAACATTACACCACAAGACACCCGACCGCTTTTTTTGGTATGTTTCAGCACACGCAGTGATCATCGACATTAATACTCATGACATGCCCTTCGTCAGGTGGTCATAGTCACTTCTGCTGGCAGTTTACGTGATGCCTAGCTTAACATAACTTACCTCGTAATTGTATTACGCATAAAATGCTAATACATATTCTTCTGTCAAAATAACGTGTTGCACTTTCAGCATTTCAAATAAATTTCATTACTTTCTGCATGAACAAGACAATTGTTTACATGCTTGCTGGAAACGCATGTGGCCACTCACCTGGGGTCACACCAACTGCACCGGCTGGTTGGCCAACGACTGTAGTAGCAACGGCAGGGGAATGCACGACGGCTCCTGGGATCTGGTGGACAACGGCCTGTGCGGGAGTGGTCACGGTGGCCGTCCTGTACGTGGTAACGGCAGCTCCAGGTACGGAATTCACGACGGCCCCAGTAGCAACACCTGGCTGGTTAACGACAGATACTCCTGGCTGGTTGAGAATAGCAGCACCCGGAGCACCGATGGCCGTAGTTTTGTACGTTGTCACGGAACCAGTGCTCACAGGAGCGACAAGGGTACCAGTGGCCACAGCTGGGTGGTGAAGAACGTGGATGTCTGGCTGCTGCAAGGCGGTGGCGCCATAAGTGGTGATACCGGGCTGTTGAACGACGGTGGCGCTTGGGGCACTGATGGTGGCGGTTCTGTACGTGGTCACGGTGCCTGGACGCTGGACCACAGTAGCCGTAGGAGCAGAAATCGTAGCGGTCTTGTAAGTGGTGACGGCTCCTGGAACTTGCTGCACAATGGCAGATCCGGGAGTAGTGATGGTGCCAGTCCTATAAGTGGTAACTCCTGGAATCTGCTGAACAACGGCTGAGCCCGGGACGGTGTACGTCCTGACGCCGGTGACGGCAACGCCAGGTTGCTGAACAACAGCGGCTCCGGGAGCAGTGACTGTAGAAGTCCTGTAGGTAGTGACGCCTGGAACTTGCTGGACAACAGCGCGGCCTGGAGTGGTAACGGTGGCAGTCCTGTAGGTTGTGATGCCTGGGACTTGCTGCACTACGGCACCTCCCGGAGCGGTCACTGTTGAGGTCCTGTACGTGGTGACTCCCGGGACTTGCTGGACGACTGCGCCTCCTGGAGAAGTCACGGTTGCGGTCCTGTATGTGGTGACGCCCGGTACTTGCTGAACAACAGCGCTGCCAGGAGCGGTCAGGGTGGCAGTCCTGTACGTTGTGATGGCTGGACCGGGAGCAGTGTGTACGACTGCGGTGCCGGGAGTGGAGACGGTGGCCGTCTTGTAAGTGGTCACAGCCGCACCTGGGACGTGGTGGACAACAGCAGCACCTGGTGTGTGCAGAAGACCGAGGCCCTCACTGTGCACGACAGCACCAGGATGGTACAGCGTGCCGTAGCGGGTGCCACCCAAGCCGTATCCGTAACCAAAGTTGACAGGCCTGGTGTGGTAATGAATTTCGGGAACCCCAATTGTACGCGTTCCATAGCCGAGGCCATAGATGTATCCAGGGGTGTGCTCAACGACAGCAGAGCCTGGCTGCGTGACGGTGGTCACGCCGTAAGCCGCAGAACCTGGACGAACACTGGTGATCGCAGAGCCTGGCTGGTAGGTAAGCGTGCCGGCACCGTAAGCCGCTCCCGGTTTAACGGTGGTGACCGCGGAGCCCGGCTGGTAGGTGACAGCGTTGATGTTGTAGGCCGTTCCGGGCCTGTATGTGGTAACCGTGGATCCCGGCTGGTAGGACACAGCTCCGTATCCATAGGCCGATCCGGGCCTGACCGTGGTGATAGCCTGTCCTGGACGGTAAGCCACGGCCCCGTAGCCGTAAGCGGCTCCCGGGTGCACCGTGGTCACGGCTTGACCTGGATGGTGGAGAAGTAGGCCTGCGGCATAATGAGCGCCGCCAATTCCATAACCAAAACCGTAACTACCACCAGGCCTGACAAGCGTGATACCGTAAGTACCTCCGACTCCGTAGGCTCCCTGGGTGGTGTACACTGATCCGGGAATGTGGCTCACGGCCACACCTCCGGGCCGCACTACTCGTTGCTGGGTGACGGCGATGCCCGGCACGTGGCTGACGACGGTGGCCGGCTGGACGACGCGCTGCTGGGTCTGGGTAACCGTGACGGCCGGCTGCTGCTCAGTCACAGTGACTGCTGGCTGCACGACACGGTGCTGAGTGACGGCGATTCCGGGCTGTGTTGTCACAGCGATAGCTGGCTGTACCACTCGCTGCTGAGTGAGCGTTATGGCTGGCTGCTGCTGAGTCACGGTCACTGCAGGCTGGACGACCCGCTGCTGGGTGAGCGTGATGGCCGGCTGCTGCTGAGTCACAGTCACGGCAGGCTGGACGACCCGCTGCTGCGTAAGCGTTACGGCCGGCTGCTGCTGAGTCACGGTCACGTCGGGCTGGATGACCCTTTGCTCGGTAACGGTGATGGCAGGCCGTTGCTGGGTCACAGTGACGGCCGGCTGCACCACGCGCTGCTGGGTGAGCGTGACAGCGGGCCGCTGCTGGGTCACAGTGATGGCGGGCTGCTCAACGCGCTGCTGAGTGACGGTCACGGCAGGCTGCGACACACTGACACCGTGGGTGTCGGTAATGGGGGGTCCGTGAACTGTGGTGCCTGAATGGCCGCGGGACACGGTGGGCACGCCTTCCGGAATCACACCGCCGCTCTGGTGGAACTGGATGGCCCCGGGTCCACGGGCCACGTAGCCCACGTTGCCAACCTTGGCAATGTCGAGGTGGTGGAGGCCATCGGCCAGCGCGTACGACGCGAGCCCAAGGAACACGGTGGCCACCTGCAACAAAAGCGCAAATACATTTGTAAGCGAAAACACACCGACTTGAGTCAAAGCTTGTATAACACGATAAAACTAAGAGATGCGACAATTTTGTAAAGGGTGGACAAACTGTCCAGGAGACGATGTCTGTCATTCGATTTATTTTTGCAGGTGAATATATTATTATTATTATTATTATTATTATTATTATTATTATTATTATTATTATAGTAGTGGTAGTAATATCGCTAATAGTAATAATTGATATCCGTCTAGCAATAATCAAGGGCACAGAAAATTATGAAAAAGCTTATGCTCACAAATGCCAAAAGGGCTCAACGTCTGCCTGTTTTTTATGAGCAGAAAATACATATAGGAATGTATGATAAAACAAAGAAAGAGGGAGTACAAAAGGTACAAAAGTGAATATCGAGTGAGAAATTAAAAACACAGTAAAACATTTAGTAGAAACGCTAATAAGATGCAATGGCAATATTCAGAAATGTCCGTGACCAGCGCACAAATTCGCCAATGTCGAGTGAAAACTGCAATTATGGTACACAGTTAAACAGCTCATCTGTTATTTTGGGTATTAACAGGCTATCCTTGCGGTTTATTTCATTTTCGTGCAAGCACTGTTTATTCCCCTTCTATATAGGGACCCAAAGCAACGCTTGGAGGCGCTGCGACTCTAGACGGGCAGCGCCAGCTCTAGCAGAAACAAGAAAACTGGAAATGTACATCGCGCATTTTTTTTTCTTCTTTACGTCGTGCTGCCGCTCGCTTTCGTGCACGTGCAGGACACGGGCGCTACATTTGCAGAACCGCCCAATGCACCGCTTGAAAAAAAAAATCTCCCAAGCTGGACAAGCGCTATGAAAAGCGAACGTTATCGAACGAGAAAAGTTTGTTAATGTGGAGTTTGTTAATGTTAACGTTTGTTAATGTTACGATGTGGTGCCGGCGAAAACAGCGCTCGACTTTGCGCGAAATGCATTTGCGAAGTCTGCGACATTGCCGTGTACGATACGTCGAGGTAAGCTTTCTTCTGTCATACTTTAAATGGACCCAAAGGCCTATACGCAGTGGGAAATTAAGCCACATACGCGATCTACGTTGTCGTTTTCGTTGTTGATGCATACTGTGAGTAGGAGACGCGTAGTGTCGTGAACTACCTTTCCAGCGCGTGCAAAAAAAAAACGAACAAAGATGACACAATCATAGCACAAAACAGAATAAGGTCCATGTCCTCCGTAGCACTGGGGCATCTCCCTCTGACTTCAATCCTTCTTTACCCCCGAACCCAAATCCAACAAGAAAGGACTGGGAGGCGGCCCTGCTCGGTTGCCAGGACCTTGCGGCCCAACGAGCCATGGTCCAGCGTGCCAGGACAGCGGCCACGACCAACGGGGTCCCAGACTAGGGACTCCACCTAGTACTGCAGGGAGGCTGACCCACTAGAGGCTGGTCTCCCTAGCAACCTGCTTTTTTTTTCTAAATAAATGTTCTCTACTACTACTACTACCGCTGACTTAGGTGCGAGGCAGCTTGTTTAGCTTTTCACCACTGCAAAGTAAGTCGAACTGTATACCCTCGTTTTTTGTTTTTTTTTTTCGATACTCGCGTCGTGCTTACGCTCCTATTTTACGAAAATATCGACTGTACAGACATATAAGGCCTGCTTTTCGAACGCGGTTCAGCGTGAGAAGTGCCTTATTTCAGGCTCGATGTGGTAGAGGGTGGGCGACGAGCTCGCGTTATTAGCCCACACTGAAAGCACTCTGCCGACCGTAACACGCATACAGGCTGTGCGCGTGAAAGAAAATCACACATCTCTAAGTGTATTGTGTGCCAGTTTAATTAAGTGGCCGGCATGAATAGCACCCTATTGAAGCGACAAAAATTGAACAAACCAGCAAGGCGAAGTTAAAGTTTGCTGAAAATGCAAAGACGTTCGTTCCGGCGCGATGACGAAGCATTCCCAATGTGTGAACATCAAGCGGCGAACCTTTGACAATGTACGCTGTTCAGTTTAAAAGCAACCAACACTGTAAGGCCGCGTTCACACTGAGAATTCCGGCCGCCGAAAGTGCTCCGAATCCGGTTCGGCGGCGGCGAGATCCGCCGAGAGGGCCCTCTCAGCGCCGATCGCTCTCGAACCGATTTTTGCCGCGTCTACCGCCGAATCGGTCACCGCGGACCAATAGGAGCGCTAGTCAAGGAATTTCGAAAAATGGCGGCCAAGCCCTATACTAACTTGTTATGCTGCAGTGCACGTAACTGAATTTTAAAATTAACGGGAGTTTAACCTACTCTGTGCCTACTTCGCCTCCGTATATCGTGAAAGAGGTGACCGAGCTTGCTGTTGGCGTGACCGAGCTTGTTGCGGTCTTGCAAAGCAAAACGAACCCACCCACGCCGCTGGCGTCGGTGGTTTTTCTGCACTTCGTGCATTACAACACAGCCACTTGCCAGCAAAGTAAGCAGTACTGTCTTTTCTTGCGTACGAGAATTGTCGAAATATACACCACCGGATAGCGTAGTAGCGTTTGCGAGCCGCGACAACAACCGGGTGACAGCGCATCTATCCCGCGTTCGCCCCGTATAGTAGATGTCATATTCGGCGGCTCGGGGCGCGTCCAGTGCGAACGACGCTGTGTTTCGGCGGCAGGGGAATTTCGGTCCTTGCAGAAAGCGGATGTTTCAATGTGAACTAGGCATAACGCTAAACGCGGTATGACGTATGCGAGTGTGAACGTCCAACAACGACAGCTCTACGTCTCACTAACACAAGGAATGAAAAGACAAAAGCTGTTTCAACATACTGCCGTGACTGGACTTTCACAATGCGAGGAGACAGCGCTCGAGCTATCATTACTGCGGTCGTTGCGTGAACGCGCCGCGTTACGTAATCATCAGGTAGTCGAAAAAAATGATTTCAATTGAATTCAGGCACTAAAAACGGAAGGCCAGGTGGAACTACAACTTACTTTATTCTTTTAACTGCGTGCATCTACGCTTGTTTTCCATCTCTCTCGTACGACTTGTCCGGCAACCGATAATTTTACAACCGGAGCGCGTGTCTTGGTACATTATGCACTCTCGTGGCTGAGAGCAATACTTCGGACCTCGCTCATGCTTCCGTGTGGTCGATTGGGCAATCGCGGAAAAGCAACGTCGAAAGCGAGCGCTTTGTTTCAGCGCGCCAAGCTGACGTCCCGGCGCCAAAGTTTCCTGCACCGAATCTAGAACGCGTGACGCACGGGCTCCCACTGCGGTGAAACACACACTGAATCGCGTTACGCCCTCTGCCGCGCATATCCCCAATTTCCCTGAGCTTGCCGCCAGAGCCGCAGCGCGGCGTTGTCGTCGCTCCGCAAACTTGAGCTTCGAGTCCCCATGCAATAAGTACCCCACAAAGCTGCACGAAATAAAAATACTTCATTAAAACTTATCTAAACAGATACCACTCAAGTTTTTTTACGTGTCAGAAACTCAAGAGACGAGTGTGTAGCAATGTTTCGCTTAGTATTTCCGGTTGTAGTTCATCAAATGATCTCATTTAAATACAGGGCTCTGAAATTGAAGCGAAAGTATGTCGCACTTTTTTTTTAACGTGAGCACATGTATGAAGACATCTGGCGTTCAAAATAAATGTTTATGATTCCTTTTAAATTCAGCACGTGGAGGTACATGAAAGCCACCTTTGCACATAGGTTATTTATCTAAAATAAAACCAAGTGAGACAACGTGTATCGCTGTCATCCGTCCACTCAACTATAATTGAATAAGGGGCCTTTAGTAAACTCCTCTAAGTATGGGTGTTTTGTACTCAAAGTTTGAAGGCAGTCGAGTTTCTACAGAGTTCAACTTGGAAGAAATACCCTAGCCTGTCTGTGCTGCTATATAATCAGGCTGCGGAAAATCATTTCGCTTTACATGATTAGGCGCCTGACAATAGGCGAAATAATCCTCCCTGATATGGCGAGTATCCATTTCCTACTATCGGAGCTTATGAATTTGACTTGCTGTCAAATGGAACGCCTCACGTGAGTGTCCCGACGCATAAGGGAGGATTCTTGCGCCAGTTTTCACGGTCTTGCATAAGTAACTATCTAAACCACAACTAAAGGTCGCAGCCGCGCATGAACTTACTAAAAGAATTCAAGCGGAACCATATAGAAGTGCGACTGCATCTAACTTTTCAATAAAAGCATCCAGGCTTAATGCAGTCACGGAATATTTCATTATTCAAGCCTTGTTAACTGGGAGGCTGGCAACACATTTTTTTTTCTCACTTCGTGTCCCCACTGCTCCTTGAGTTATCTGTAAAGGTGTTTGTCATGTATTTCTTATTATTTAGTTTTTAGAAAACCAGGAAGCTCAAGCTTGTCAATAGGGTGCGTCATCATACAAAACCGATGTCCGTCAGATTCGGTGTCACTTCACCAAATCTTCTTTGGAAAACGCTAAGGTCTACACCCTTTGCGTTCATGCGGCTCATCTTTTGGACGTCTTATGATGCAAATATCCTTCGGTATTCAAGGTAACATAAAGTACAACGCTAAAATATAACCTACTAGTACCAGAAGTTTGGCACAATCGGAGTGCGTTGGTTGTTTAATTTTACGCCAACAATCTAAGCATGTTGCAGAATCTCTGCTGTATTTTTGTTAGTTCTTGGGAAACAGCCGCAAAGCCGGACGTGTGACTCTATCATTCATCATCCTCATCGGCTTGTTTACGTTGGTAATAACAGTATAATTCACCCGACAAAATTACATGTTCAATTCTGACTGCTCATGTAAGTTGTGCTGCTTTCCACTTGAAATCTTTGGGGCGCGAGACTGCAAGAACTCACGTTCTGTGAAATTCCACGCAAGACAACTGGCACATAATAACAAGGTTTGGTGTAATGAAGGACTAGGAACTAATTCTAGCCACCTTGACTTCTTTGGCATTTCAGTTTGATGTAAACAGGCAGGTATTTTGACAGTTCGCGCCCATTAGTACGCTGT